GGCGCAAGTTCAGTGACGCAGGTAGTGACGATTCTCTCCAGCCAATCCGTGATCAGCAGAGTTTACACGTCACGTTTTGGTAACGGTACGGTTCGCTTGGAACCCCAACCGAGGTGGTACTAAAAAAGGTACCAGGTACTGTACCCAGTGGAAAACCCCCCAAAAGTGAACCGTACTGAGCCGTACTGTACCATGCAGTGGAAAAGCGCCATTAGACTAGAGACAGTTATAAACAGTTACATTTTTGTCAGCCTTAGCCTAAATCAATCTAATCATTTTTTATTTTATTTAAGAATTCCATGTCAATGAAAAGAGCTGTTGTTCTTCAGGGCCTTCCACATTACATCAGTGAGGATCCATCAGATTTCAAGTCAGCAGAGGTAGATTTGCATGTTAATACCTTTGCTTAAAATAATGGTCTGTATATGTCTAATCATGACCCTGTCTGTGAAATCTAGGATAGTTTCATAATCTAATTATGAGATAACGAATGCCAAAGTTTGATTTTATCTGTTACTTTCACTGTGATTTCAGTCTTTTGATATGGCCTTGGTCAGTATTAAAGATATCAAGGTTATATTTTCATAGAATCATCTTTACATAATGTAGGATGATTTAATGTAGAAAATAGTAAATTACAAAAAAGAGCATTTTGCAAGCAGGGTCTCAGAATTAACTCCCTACATAATTTTCTGCTAAAAATTGGGTTATACACTATTTCAATAAAATAACTGTCTTTCTGTGTAAATATTTTGATAATACAATTACTGTAGGAAACAGACATTGAAGACCGTGTGACGGCAGGAATGGATGTGGACAATTCTCATAATGCCTGATGGAGATGATGCCTTTGACTACTATGTGGTGCTGGAGGAACAGATTGTCCTGAGAGATGTCAAAGACCTCCCTCATGCTGTAGCTCTACTAGTCGGGCTGATTTTTGCACTTAATATTGATTACCCCCAAAAAATACGCTACACATTTGAGGTCATTCAAGATTTTCATTTACATTGGAGGTGATCAATGGTTCTGTGAAGGTGCATGGTGTGCACCTTTTTGTTGTTCATGATTTGTCTTGTGAATTTCTGGTTATTGTTTTTTTAAAAACAATGAATGTTTCATTAATTTTTTCTTGACATGGTACTTTATGCCGTACCAATGTATGTAACTGAATATAAAAATATCTTGTTTGATTTTAGACACTTTTATACTGTTTATACAGTATTATTATTAATGCAGTACATTACTGTATGTTTGTACAGTATTGTTGTTCTTGCAGTACATTACTTTGTATTTTATGCATTATTATTGTTTATGCAGTGCATCACTGTATGCTTCATACAGTATTGTTCATGCAGTACATTACTCTATTTCATGCAGTATTATTTCTTATGCAGTACATCAATGTATGTTTCATACAGTATTGTTCTTGCAGTACATTACTCTGTATTTTATGCAGTATTATTGTTTATGCAGTACATCACTGTATGCTTCATACAGTATCCTTGTTAATGAACTGAACTTGTTTTAGTGGAAAAATAAAATTCAAATGATTAAACTTAAATTGTTTATTGCACTTGATTTATAAAGTCCTGTCAACTTTATCCTCGGTTAAGACAACTTCACAATTTAAGTTCACAAAATGTAAATTATGTTTATTGCACTTGATTTATAAAGACCTGTCAACTTTATCTTCAGTTAAGACAACTTCACAATTTAAGTTCACAAAACTTGCAATTTTAAGGCAGCACAAACACTTACTTTTTTAAGTTGAAACAACAAATTTTTTTTTTACAGTGTAGGCCAGGGAACATGTGGAACTTACATGTAAAGTGTTGTGTAGAAAACTGTATATAAACTGTAAAGTAAAATAAATAGACTCTCAGTGAAGCAGACAGAATGCTGTGTTCTGGATTTTGCATACTTTCCTCATATTTATTTATATATTCAAATGAAAATGCAATAATAAAATCAAATAACATTCACAAACAGGGTAGACAAAAACGCACTGTATGCAAACACAATGAAGAATATTGTTATATCACACCTGGAATGTTCAACATCTAATACAGTTTGTCAAAGCAGTTTTACATGTGAGGCATTCAGTTCAGTTTGATACGAATGTCAGTGCTGAAAGATGTCATTCAACTGTAGTGCAGCTTCTCTCAGTGTCCTCAGCCATGATGTCACTTACACAATGGGCTTATCATTCTCAGAAGATCCTTTCAGTCATTAGTCCTTGTGTGCGTAGAGCTGTGCGGACTGATACTGAAAAATGGTGAAGTGAACTTATCTTGGCCTCTGAAGTAAGCAAACAGTTGCTTGAACTTGAACTGTGTAAGAAACCCCAGTCCCTTTAACCCAGTTGTCCTGAGGAGAGAGTGTTGGAAAGATGTTGTTTCACATCCAGTCTAATTCCACCCCTTTCCCTGCAAAAGATTTCTTCTTGCTGCCATAGTCGTAGCGTAACTCCTCATTGACCAGAATGTCTCTCAATGTAATGAAGAGAATGACGTCTCTATCATTATGGATGAACAGCCTTGGGCGAATGTTGGCTCTTTTGCTGGAGTGATTTATCAGGCGCCCATAGATTATGGAGAGAGGATGGCACTGGCAGCTTTCTTCATGTGCATCAATGCACATGGCCTCGTTCCTTTTGTTCTTATAAAAGAGCAAATGACCAGGATTCATGTCAGGGGACGAGGCATGAATCGCCAACCCCTCTTCTCGGCTGACCAGCCGGCCGTGGTATTCACAGACTACCTCCCCTTGTTCAAAGCGCCTTTTGGTGAAGACCCCACGACCCTTCTCAGGGACATCCTTGATAGTCAGCCCTTTCCAGCGTTGTGCTGTGACCATACTACGAACAAAGCTGCTGTCAAGGGCAGTGTCAACGGTCCCAACAGGCTTCCACTGCCTCAGAATTAATGAAGCTTGTGGGTTGTTAGATGTCCACCCTCGTTTCTGAATCCAAGCCTCGATTTTGGACGTAGACGGCTTCCGGCATCCAAAATGTTCTATAAAAACAAGCCATTGAAAGCATTAGCCATTGTGGGTACATATTCTTTGAGATTTCACTGACATTTCATGTATGTGAATACTCACCATGGATATGCTTTTCACGCAGCTTGAGCTGCTCGCTACGCCAGCGGTCATAGCAGTGCCTTTCGTGTTCCGCACACAGTTGCTGCCTGCATGCCCTTTTTGGAGGAGGCCCGTCCAGAGTCATTGGCCAGGATTGTGTCAAAGAGTCAAATGCTGTTTGCTCGTCCACCCTTGGCTCTCGGCTGGAAGCCCCACCAAACCCTTGTCTATAAGATCAATGAATAAATATTGAAGAAAGGATAAATCAGAGACTGCTTTGAGTAACAAAATTATGAATAAGGATAATTCATTAGATGTCAGATTGCATACCGTGTTTTTCCAGCAAGCTGGTCAATCACACTTTGGGCCAGAAATGCATCTGCCGGAGTTTTCATCCGGTAATGTTTTTCAGCAGTTTCTCGGGAGTGCCCCAAGAGCCGTGCCACTGCATTCCTCTCTAGCTCTGTCAGGTTTTTCGCAGCCGTCTCAAATGATCTCCGGGCATCGCCGCAGGTCACACTGGGAGAATTATATCTAGAACACAGGGCATCAAAAGTATGCAACAAGCAAACAGACAAGAAAGAAAATATATAGATATGTGTAATATCCCTTACTTGTCGTGTAGCCTTTTCAAGTCATTGGAGGGGTTATGTATCGGCCTCCCACTACTCGACACAAAAAATGTGTCGTTTGTCGTATCGTCATCTGAACCATTTTCTTTAAGCATTACCGGCCGCACCTCAAGGGGAAAACAACAAAAATAAAATCATGGCCCTGTTGTCTTGTATGACTTTCCCACACCATGTTTAATTTGCTGTTATGGTGTAATTTTGAATATAAACTCACAAGTTCTTGCTCGTCCGACAAAGGTACTTCTGCAACTTGTGATGTAGCCGTTTTATGCTCCTTCACCGCAACAGAAACTCCGTTCTCTCTGCGGCTTCTACCCAGCCATTCCTCAACCTGCAAACAGGCATTTGTGCACTTTTAATGATGGGTGTCACAAATATTAAAAATGTATAAGCATATGTGAGGCACAAATTCTTGAGGCATGGGAAGAAAAAAATGGACACTCACGGTCATGTTTGTGACGACTCCGGGCCGCTGAAGTAGCTTCAGCATAATTATGGCCTCAAGGTAGTAGAGGACGAGCAAACGTTCATTTTTTGTAAGGCTGTCCCCTGTGACTGCTCCTGGACCCTGCAGTTTTACCATGACCGCCAGGAAATCTTTAAAGAATTTTAAGGCAGCACAAACACTTACTTTTTTAAGTTGAAACAACAAATTTTTTTTTTACAGTGTAGGCCAGGGAACATGTGGAACTTACATGTAAAGTGTTGTGTAGAAAACTGTATATAAACTGTAAAGTAAAATAAATAGACTCTCAGTGAAGCAGACAGAATGCTGTGTTCTGGATTTTGCATACTTTCCTCATATTTATTTATATATTCAAATGAAAATGCAATAATAAAATCAAATAACATTCACAAACAGGGTAGACAAAAACGCACTGTATGCAAACACAATGAAGAATATTGTTATATCACACCTGGAATGTTCAACATCTAATACAGTTTGTCAAAGCAGTTTTACATGTGAGGCATTCAGTTCAGTTTGATACGAATGTCAGTGCTGAAAGATGTCATTCAACTGTAGTGCAGCTTCTCTCAGTGTCCTCAGCCATGATGTCACTTACACAATGGGCTTATCATTCTCAGAAGATCCTTTCAGTCATTAGTCCTTGTGTGCGTAGAGCTGTGCGGACTGATACTGAAAAATGGTGAAGTGAACTTATCTTGGCCTCTGAAGTAAGCAAACAGTTGCTTGAACTTGAACTGTGTAAGAAACCCCAGTCCCTTTAACCCAGTTGTCCTGAGGAGAGAGTGTTGGAAAGATGTTGTTTCACATCCAGTCTAATTCCACCCCTTTCCCTGCAAAAGATTTCTTCTTGCTGCCATAGTCGTAGCGTAACTCCTCATTGACCAGAATGTCTCTCAATGTAATGAAGAGAATGACGTCTCTATCATTATGGATGAACAGCCTTGGGCGAATGTTGGCTCTTTTGCTGGAGTGATTTATCAGGCGCCCATAGATTATGGAGAGAGGATGGCACTGGCAGCTTTCTTCATGTGCATCAATGCACATGGCCTCGTTCCTTTTGTTCTTATAAAAGAGCAAATGACCAGGATTCATGTCAGGGGACGAGGCATGAATCGCCAACCCCTCTTCTCGGCTGACCAGCCGGCCGTGGTATTCACAGACTACCTCCCCTTGTTCAAAGCGCCTTTTGGTGAAGACCCCACGACCCTTCTCAGGGACATCCTTGATAGTCAGCCCTTTCCAGCGTTGTGCTGTGACCATACTACGAACAAAGCTGCTGTCAAGGGCAGTGTCAACGGTCCCAACAGGCTTCCACTGCCTCAGAATTAATGAAGCTTGTGGGTTGTTAGATGTCCACCCTCGTTTCTGAATCCAAGCCTCGATTTTGGACGTAGACGGCTTCCGGCATCCAAAATGTTCTATAAAAACAAGCCATTGAAAGCATTAGCCATTGTGGGTACATATTCTTTGAGATTTCACTGACATTTCATGTATGTGAATACTCACCATGGATATGCTTTTCACGCAGCTTGAGCTGCTCGCTACGCCAGCGGTCATAGCAGTGCCTTTCGTGTTCCGCACACAGTTGCTGCCTGCATGCCCTTTTTGGAGGAGGCCCGTCCAGAGTCATTGGCCAGGATTGTGTCAAAGAGTCAAATGCTGTTTGCTCGTCCACCCTTGGCTCTCGGCTGGAAGCCCCACCAAACCCTTGTCTATAAGATCAATGAATAAATATTGAAGAAAGGATAAATCAGAGACTGCTTTGAGTAACAAAATTATGAATAAGGATAATTCATTAGATGTCAGATTGCATACCGTGTTTTTCCAGCAAGCTGGTCAATCACACTTTGGGCCAGAAATGCATCTGCCGGAGTTTTCATCCGGTAATGTTTTACAGCAGTTTCTCGGGAGTGCCCCAAGAGCCGTGCCACTGCATTCCTCTCTAGCTCTGTCAGGTTTTTCGCAGACGTCTCAAATGATCTCCGGGCATCGCCGCAGGTCACACTGGGAGAATTATATCTAGAACACAGGGCATCAAAAGTATGCAACAAGCAAACAGACAAGAAAGAAAATATATAGATATGTGTAATATCCCTTACTTGTCGTGTAGCCTTTTCAAGTCATTGGAGGGGTTATGTATCGGCCTCCCACTACTCGACACAAAAAATGTGTCGTTTGTCGTATCGTCATCTGAACCATTTTCTTTAAGCATTACCGGCCGCACCTCATTGTAGTACATGTCGAACCACTGGTCACAGAAGGGGAAAACAACAAAAATAAAATCATGGCCCTGTTGTCTTGTATGACTTTCCCACACCATGTTTAATTTGCTGTTATGGTGTAATTTTGAATATAAACTCACAAGTTCTTGCTCGTCCGACAAAGGTACTTCTGCAACTTGTGATGTAGCCGTTTTATGCTCCTTCACCGCAACAGAAACTCCGTTCTCTCTGCGGCTTCTACCCAGATATTTATTATTTTTTTTTTTTTCAAGTCAGGGAGTCATCAGCCCCACTGCTGCAAGGTTTATATTTATTCTAACTTTACTGTTATATCTATATATCTGTATTTTGTATATAAATATTTTATATATCCTACTACTTGTTTCACTTCTGTTTCAGTTTTTATAACCATTTCTTAGTGGCCATATTTTACTTTCATGTCAAACTTTCCGTAAACAGTAAACATTCATATATATGAATGTTTACTGTTTAAGGAAAGTTTGAAATGAAAGGAAAACGGCAAATTATCTGTAAACATATTAATTCAAACTAGATGTTCTACTTTAAAAAAAAATAAAACAAAACAAAAAAATTAATTCAGATTAAGGAAGTGAGGGGGGAAAGAGTCACATTATTGTCTGCATTTTAAATATTTAAGTAATAGTTTTGTAACTGTTACACTTGTACTCAATTTAAAGTCACAAAAAGCCTTGTCCCATTAACACAATACTTCAAAACAATTAAAAATACAGTAAATAAATTAAAACAGAATTAAAAATGCAGTTTATTAGTGGTCAAATTAAGAAGCAGACAGTATTATGTGTGACCTCAAGGTTAGGGTTACCCTAACCCTGTGTTTAAATTGAGTCAGGTCAGCTAAATAAATAAATAACAAATAAATAGATAAATAATAAATAATAAATAAATGATAATAATAATAATAATAATAATAATAATAATAATAATAATAATAATTTTCTATGTGGTCAAATTAAGTCTCCATAGAAAGGTAGCAAATTATTTACTATTTTAGTAGATTAGCTATGGGAAGGTTTATATTTATTCTAACTTTTCTGTTCTCTCTCTCTCTCTCTCTCTCTCTCTCTCTCATATTTTCCTTTCATTTCAAACTTTCCGTAAACAGTAAACATTATTATATATATTAACACAACTATCTAGGTAATCTGCATATCTTTGGCCTTTGGCCTCTCATATCTTTGGCAATTTAAACTGTGGCTTATGGGCGAAACCTACGTGTTAGATGAAATTTTTAAAGAAGTATTAACTTACCTTGATGTAGTAAAGCTCAAAGACAAAACCAAGCTATAGCGTGATCGCAGATGTTCGAACATTTTGGGTCGCCCAGGAAGGGCTCCTGATTTTTCATTCAGCCCAGGAAGGGCTCCTGATTCCTCGTTTAGCCCAGGAAGGGCTCCTGATCCCCAATTCAGCTCGGGAAGGGCTCCTGATTCCTCGTTAAGCCCGGGATGGGCTCCTGATTCCTTGTTAAGCCCGGGATGGGCTCCTGATTCCTCGTTAAGCCCGGGATGGGCTCCTGATTCCTCGTTAAGCCCGGGATGGGCTCCTGATTCCTTGTTAAGCCCGGGATGGGCTCCTGATTCCTCGTTAAGCCCGGGATGGGCTCCTGATTCCTCGTTTAGCTCGGGAAGGGCTCCTGATTCCTCGTTAAGCCCGGGAAGGACTCCTGATTCCTCGTTAAGCCGGGGAAGGGCTCCTGATCCCCAGTTCAGCCCAGGAAGGGCTCTGGATGTTTTTCTTAGCCCAGGAAGGGCTCCTGATTTTTCGTTCAGCCCAGGAAGGTCTCCTGATCCCCAGTTCCGCCCAGGAAAGGCTCCAGACCCCGAACCCAGCTCAGAGCGCCCTCCAGTGCCCGCTCCTAGAAAGCGGCCTCCAGTGCCCGCTCCTAGAAAGCGCCCTCCAGTGCCTGCTCCTAGAAAGCGCCCTCCAGTGGCCGCTCCTAGAAAATGCCCGCCCTCCCATCCGCTCCAGCCTCCTCCACCGCTGTCGTCTGGCAGCCCCTCTGCTCGCCCTCAGCCCACCATCATTGCGGTGCGAGCCCCGCGGGACTGCCATCCTCCAGTGTCGCCGGGGTTGGAGTCTCCCTCATCTCTGCCTCCGGCCTCCGAGGCCCGGACTCCGCCTCGGCCCATAGACCCAGTGGCTCCACCTCGCCTCCACCGTCACCAATTCACCCATCGATCCATCAGCTCCACCGGGCTCCCTCGTCCCTCCGGCTCCGCCTTGGTCGGGCGTCGACCCGCCATCGCCTCTGGACTCCTCTCCTCTGGCTGCGCCTCGTCGCTCTGTCCCACCGGCTCCGTTGGGCTCCTCCCTCCCGCCGGCTCCACCTTGGTCCTCAGTCGCTCCGGCTCCGCCGCGGATCTC